TGGTACCTGTGTCCTGGGTCCTGCCCAGCTCACTGATGTCACTGGTTGCCAGGAGCTGGACAAGACGCCAGCCAGAGTGTCCTACTCAGCTTCTGGCAACCAGTGACCTCAGTGAGCTGGGGCAGGATGCCGGCCAGAGTGTCACAGGTTACTGAGAGCTTTTAGCAACCTGGGACGCTCTGGCCGGAAAGGAGGCAACAGGCACACCTGACTCCGCCCCTTAACTGATCCAATGCGGTGCCGCCAGAGGCAATCGCCCCAGGCTGCCTCATTATGGGGATGATCCTGCTCTAGCCAACTGCTTACACTGTTACCAATCCCTAGCTGGAGGTCTTCTTTAATAGCAGCCCACAAGTCCATTGATACTTGGTTTTATTTCTTCGTCCACTGGATTGTAGTATTTTCTCACATCTCTCGTGGTGAACAAAGAGGCAGGAAACGCATATAACTGGATTGAAGATATGCATGCCATTCTCAAGCTATCTTCTGAAAACGTGATAAGATTTGGAAAATGTACACAGGAAGAACTGTAATATCCTGTAGTATTTGCTCAGAAATGTGAACTTTGAAATGTGGTAAATTGCAGATAATTAACGTTAAAGGATAACTCACTACATGCTATATGTGAGTGTGTATGTATACTATTACAGTGTATGTGAGGACATGCAGGCATAGATTACTAGATGGAAACAGTTTAGTAGCATCTGGTTATGTTTTACTTTATTAAAGCCAAACTCCAGGAAAAATTATCATTTATACCCTGCACTGGGTATGTCAATTATCATTAAAAAGCTGTATGCTTATGTGTGGAGGAGGACTACAAAGAATACAATCTTACCCTGCAGCATGCTGTCCCCCTGCACACAATGCTGAGCTTCTGGACGCTCGAGCAATGATATGTATCACCCACCCCTCCTGTCTAGTGCCCATTCACAAAAAGCCTCATTTTTTTTTTTTAAAACAATACAAGGTGCTCTGTGATTGGAAGAGAAGAGGTAAGGTCACATCTCCACCCCCTGCTTTCCTCCTCCAATCACAGAATGCCTTGTATTGTTTGTGAAAATTATAAGGCATTTTGTGAATGGACAATAGTGAGGAGGGGCGGGTGATGCAATTCGCAGCTCTCACTTTCCACAGTGCCTGGAAGCTCTGCGTTATGTAAAGGAGACAGCATGCTGTAAAGTAAGATTTTTGTACTTTGTAGCCGCCCTCTGCACATAACGCTCAACATTTGAATGATAATTTACCCACCCAGTGCAATGTGTAAATGATAATTTTTCCTAGAATTTGGTTTTAAGTGTTTATTAAGAATTTGTAGGAATCATAGTTTCTATATCGCCATTTTTCCTCTCCTCTTATTCTGCACCAACACATGTAATTGCTGCACATCCAGCTTAAATATATTACCAAAATCTGTTTGTCTGCGGCAATGGCTGGTCATCTGTCCTCAGATGCAGGTAAGCACTGCATGTGCATATATTTGTGAATTGAGGTGGATAGCGGGGACCAGCTGTGGTTCCAACCATGGGAATCCACAGCCAGCCCTAAAACTCAGTGAGAATGAGGCATTACACCCCAACAACATTTTGCTGCCTGTAATTGGCAAAGGGAATTAAAGCCTAATTGGAATTTAAATTCTCTAAATACATTCAAGGTGCCTCAAATCAAAAGGTGTGAAAAGCCTTACAGTTTGTTTTCCAGCATGCTGCATAATGGGACATCTCTCTCTCTCTCTCTCTCTCTCTCTCTCTCTCTCTCTCTCTCTCTCGCTCTGCCACACACAC